ACAAAGACCTGTTCCTCTAACTGCTCCTTTCTTACTAATCGCGCGAACGCGGGAGCACTGAGACAGCAATGCGCCAAGGTGTTATCTACACCGGATGCATGGAACAGGCGAGCAATCTTCACTTCGCCTGACGGACCAGGGAGCCTACACTCATGCTCTGTCAACTGGAGTGTGGCCCCTGCTGCCTCTCCCCAATCCATTCCTAACACTACATCGAAAGGAAGGTCATCTTGYACGAGGAGAGTCAGGGAATGGAGAACTTTCTCCACCTTCCCATCCTTCTCTAGGCGAAAGTACGCCTGGACTCCCCCTACATAGTCCTCAACGCGCATTGTGCGGTTGTCTACGAGAACACTGACTATAGGGTCTATTAACTTTTGAACCTTTAGTCATAGCCTTTGCTTCTTCAGCGCCCTACGGCTGATATAACTACGGGTAGCCCCTGAGTCTATAAGGGCCCCTATCCTACTCCTAAACACCTCTACATCTACCAAAATCAATTGTCCTTTACTCTCCTTCTTCATTTTGGCCCAGGCTGGCATCCTCTCCTTTAATTCTTCTGCCACACCTGTGAGGGACGTGCCTAAAGAGACGCTTACACTGGCGGTCTCTCGACAACTATATAGGCACGGACCTGCAACCTCTGCCATAGGCTCATGTGGGTTGGGAGTGTCCTGTTCGCGCGCGCTCACTTCTCCACATGGCCTTGAAGTAGGGGCAGTTGCGACCCCTACTGGCGGCTGCCTTTTGACTGCTGGGCAGCCCAACGGGCCTGTCTATACTTTGGACAAAATTTGATAACGTGGGTCGGGTCACCACAGAATACGCACTGACCCATGTTCACGCGTTCCTGCCATAATTATCGGTCAAAGCCCAAGTCTTCCCAGGACCTGCCCTGTGGCAAGCCTGGATGCCATCCTCCTTGAGGTACCCTTCTACCTCCTCGTTGTGGGACCGGTTACCCTGGCGATTTAACGGGGGACCTTGACCCCTACCTCCCGCTTGGCAGTTTCCCTGTCCGCCAACCCCCTGTGCGCCCGGTCCTCGGCCTCCCATGGCCTGGCCCCTTTGGCCCGACCTTGACCCCTACCTCCCGCTTGGCGGTTTCCCTGTCCGCCAACCCCCTGTGCGCCCGGTCCTCGGCCTCCCATGGCCTGGCCCCTTTGGCCCTGGCCTCCTCCTCTACCTTGTGGCCTCCCTCCGGCCGCGACAGCAGCGTTAGACCTCCCCTGACCTACACAACTGTACTCCTTCCCTAGGCCCCACTCAATCTGATCATATGGGACCTCTTCTGTACCACCCTCCTCTAATGTGAGGATCGAGTGATCCTTGGCCTTGACTTGGCCCGAGATCGTACGATCTTTCCACTTCTTCCCCTTCTCCTGGTCCTTATGCCAGAAAGTGGTAACTGGCATAGACTTCGACTCATACAGGACGACTTCTCTACTCAATACATCGTAAGTCATGCCGGSCTGCTGAGATTTGTCAAAGAAATGCCCGCGTAGGACCTCTGGAATGGCACGATAAAACAACTGGACCAGCTGGGGCTCAGTGACCCCGTGGTCCGGGACGGCTACCA